GAGCATGCATGCAAAGTTGCTTAAATTTAGAATATTCAGGTCGTATACTTGTAATAACAGCACAGTATTTAAAATAAATCCGCACGTAAAAGTTTGTTGTAAGTACTTAACGGACTTTATTTTGTCACTGTAAGCGAGAGCTAACGAATTTTAATGACACAAAGCAACAAGGAAAAATCCGGTATATAGAAATAAATATTAGCGGGAAATATTTTTTTTTCTCTCTACCTTCCTCTATTCTGTAATTAAAAGCATAAAGACAGCTTTACGGCAAAGAAAAAAAGAAAGAAAACAAAAGACCACGTTTGCTCGCCAGCAGTAATATTTACACTCCGTTGCATAGTTATAAACGCAGAACAAAAAAATGACTTGTGCATGGTAAGAGGTCTCTTAAAATAGAGTGCTTATTTTTTTAATAATCGTAACTTAATTTAAAGGAAATTAAAAAATCTAAAAACTACTTGATTCAAAACTATAAATAAGTATGTCATCTTGAAACTCTATTTGTGCTACCTTTACTTTAATTAACTGCAATAATTGTCTTCTCCATACTTAGTTATCGGTAAAGCAGCATCCAGTTTATGCTAATCTTGCAAAAGTGACAACGCTTTCAAATTTGCGATTATCAGCATAAACTGTTTTTTTCTAGTACTCCCCACACATTTGCCATTTGGCGGTGGTCAGGAGTGCAGAATCCACCATAATTTTCCAGAAGTTGTTAACTTCAAAATTTTCAAATCCCGTTGGTCGTCAAACAATTTGAAGGGCCTTAAAATGTTCCAAGCACTTCGAGTATGTTGGAATGATAACGACTGCGCGTCTTTTACTTCATCGNATTTTCCAGAAGTTGTTAACTTCAAAATTTTCAAATCCCGTTGGTCGTCACAATTTGAAGGCCCTTAAAATGTTCCAAGCACTTCGAGTATGTTGGAATGATAACGACTGCGCGTCTTTTACTTCATCCTAAAGCTCGTCGTTTGAAGTACAAAACCGCGTATCAACAAAATGCAAAACCGCGTATGTGAGTTTGCATAAATTTGTTTCTAGAGAGTAAAAATACTCGTATTTCAAAATGGTTCTCTTTTTTATAAAGCAATCGCATTTTTGGCTAGAATATTCCAGAATGAATGGATAAGGATTGAGCCAAGAGCTTGTGTCAGCAAATTTGACAGCAAATGTCAGTTACGCGGTTTTGTACTTTAAGCGACGAGCTGCTCCATTGGATTTCGCTGGAAGAACATGGCAGTTTATTGGAATTCTCCAAGTTCTTTAAATGGTTGTTTTAACTTAAAAGTCAGTATTAAAAACATGGCTTAGGTTATCTTTTTATATGTACGCATCAAGCGCTCATAGAAGAGATCCTTGGACGTCTCGTCCTGAGCGCAGATGAGCGAAATGTTGAAGAATCTCGTTGTGATGCTAATTGTGGCTAGACGTTCATTCACCAGGATGAACGCCAGTATTCGGCANTTGTTTTAACTTAAAAGTCAGTATTAAAAACATGGCTTAGGTTATCTTTTCATATGTACGCATCAAGCGCTCATAGAAGAGATCCTTGGACGTCTCGTCCTGAGCGCAGATGAGCGAAATGTTGAAGAATCTCATTTTGATGCTGATTGTGGCTAGACGTTCATTCACCGGGATGAACGCCAGTATTCGGCGACGGAGTCTCTCTCCCACCACAAATCCCACACCAAATTTACGCTCCTTTACGTGGCAACTGTAGTTGACGTCGCAAGGCTCCACGCTTGCCTTGCCTTGCCCCTTCCATCGTATTTCTTGGATGGCGGTGATGTTAGCATCTTCCCCATTAGATATTAGTCCGAGTACTACACATAAACATATCTATGGTCATCTGGAATAACGGCCCAACTCAAAATTTGATGTTTTTAAGTTGTATAGCGGATTAGGTTTATAAATAATCAAATTTTTCTGTGACAGATCGACATATGCTTTGTTGTTACCAAGCAGATAGGCGAACAGTGTTGCCATTTGTCACACAACCGAAGTAGCCAACCCTTACTACTGAACAGTGGCACATGTCTAACATTCAACGTGAATATTGGCATATGTCAAAAAATTTTATTGTATCGTTATTCAGCAGGAGTTGTTGGCTATTTCGTATTTTTTCAGTCCAACNTTTTCTGTGACAGATCGACATATGCTTTGTTGTTACCAAGCAGATAGGCGAACAGTGTTGCCATTTGTCACACAACCGAAGTAGCCAACCCTTACTACTGAACAGTGGCACATGTCTAACATTCAACGTGAATATTGGCATATGTCAAAAAATTTTATTGGCTATTTCGTATTTTTTCAGTCCAGTNTTGATGTTTTTAAGTTGTATAGCGGATTAGGTTTATAAATAATCAAATTTTTCTGTGACAGATCGACATATGCTTTGTTGTTACCAAGCAGATAGGCGAACAGTGTTGCCATTTGTCACACAACCGAAGTAGCCAACCCTTACTACTGAACAGTGGCACATGTCTAACATTCAACGTGAATATTGGCATATGTCAAAAAATTTTATTGTATCGTTATTCAGCAGGAGTTGTTGGCTATTTCGTATTTTTTCAGTCCAACCCTTAATAAATCTTTAGAAAAAAGTCACAATTTTAAAGCTTACAAATTTGCCTTCCAGAGGGGCTGCAAATAATCCGGAATAATTACGTTCCAAAACATATTAATGCAAAATTACGAAACACACACAATCTTTAACTGGCTCTACGGAAAAATATACAATTTGGAGTTGTATCGTTATTGCAGAGGAGAAATTAAAAATACATGTGGATAATAAAGAGCGTTCACTGGGCTTTATAAGCAAACTATTTTCACCCACAAAATTCTCGTTTAGATTAATTTAGATAATCCTACTTGTTACAGGCGATGACATTCACACACATTTAAAATTTGTGAACATCAATCATTGTACATCTGCTAGTAATAATAATTGACATTCGCAAAATTAGATTAATTTGTGAAATTTTAGACTTATTTATTTTAAGTCAATTTGCAGTTGAGTTTCTAATAAATATATAATTGGCGTTGACTATTTTGGTCGATATTTACTTTAATTAAAATTCAATTGCAATTTCTTAATGCAATTGATTGGNATTCAACGTGAATATTGGCATATGTCAAAAAATTTTATTGGCTATTTCGTATTTTTTCAGTCCAGTCCTTAATAAATCTTTAGAAAAAAGTCACAATTTTAAAGCTTACAAATTTGCCTTCCAGAGGGGCTGCAAATAATCCGGAATAATTACGTTCCAAAACATATTAATGCAAAATTACGAAACACACACAATCTTTAACTGGCTCTAATAAATAAATAATTGGCGTTGACTATTTTGGTCGATATTTACTTTCATTAAAATTCAATTGCAATTTCTTAATGCAATTGATTGGCATTATCACAGATGGCTGTTCGTCTATGCTATTTTAAGATAAATATTAATTGATGTGTTATATACATATTAGGAGATTGCAGCTCACCAATTACCATGAATTGAACAAAAAAATTAATTAGAGTGAAAAATTTTTATGAAAACTCATATTTTGATACAGGAGGCTAGAGAAATTAAAAATACATCGTTTCGAAAAGGATAAATGTACTTGTTTTATGTTTTCTCATTTATATTCAATGAAAGGAAAATTTGCTAAGTCTAAGAGAGGCTCCGAAAAATCGATAAGACCAAAATAGTACGAAATATTTGAATAAAGATCAAATCCCTCTGATTCGTATGGAGTTTTGCTTTCCATTAAAAAGGCAAAATTTTGTATTCAAATGTTGTATAGAAATACGAGAAAAAAGCCTTTAATAACAATTTAAAAAGCCAAATTGAACCACCCATTATAAGCGGCACGGCACATCTGTTTTTCTTTTTTCAATACCTATAGGGTGCAAACCTGTTTTTGCTGAGACTAATCTCAAATTCGTAATGAATATATAAGTACATTTTTTCCACTACATAAATACAATTCTATTTTTATCAACAAACTAGTGAAGCTTTAAGCGTAGCAAATTCTCACATTTGCGTTTCACACTAAACAACTCTCGACTTTGAAAATGAATTTCAGTCGCACTAAGCTTTTCTCAGAATAGAGAAGTCTGATCGCAGTTAGTATGGCGTCAGATTGGAAAATATTTTTGCTATTGAGCGCATTTTCAACGCTACAGGCATGTTTACAAAAATCTTGAGATCCTAAACTAAATATAATCGACATAATTATAACTTTAATTTTGCAGTGCGTGGCAGCACAGTTATTAGTGGAGTTCAATGATGAATCTATTAGGAGTGCCACAGAGCAGCAGCAGGTGGATGATAGTACGAATGAGGGCGCGCCGCCAAAAAGAGCTACACATTTACCGCTGAAAAGAGAGCACTGGGCCATAATTTGTGCCGCGATTTCATTATGTTTTGCGCTTCTATTTATAATTAAATATATGTGTTGGCCTAAGTTGCGTTACTGTGGCTGTAGGGAAGTTGAACTGCAACCGAGTGAAGCGAATGTAAGAAACAGAGAATTAAAACCACAATATTCTTGGGATACCACAAATCATATCTAGATATTATTTTGCATTTAAATTTATAACATCAAGTGCGACATACATACGTACATACTTACTATTATGTATTTGTAATTTCATTACACATAATCATTACATACACATACATACATTAATAATAATAATAATAATAATAGATTGGCACTTACACATATGTTAGTGTTTGTGGCCGAGCTTCTCCTCCGATTTGTGGCGTGCCCCTTGATGCTGTCACACAAAGCGGAGGAACCTACAGTTTAACGCCAACTCCGGACGGCGATTGTATTTTTAGGAGAAGCTGTTTTTCATGGCAGAAATACACACGGAAGTTTGCCATTGCCTACCGACGGACGACCGCTGTTAAGAAAAAACCATTTTTCTATATTTTTTTGCGATGTTGCTTTGACCAGGCTTTGAACCCAGGCGTTGCGGAGTGGAAGCGCGCACTGCTTACCACTACACCACAGCGGCCGACATACGATACATACATTAGGACGTCCCCAAATATAGAATGTTGGTTTTTTCCATTTTAGCTCAAATAACGTCTATTAAATTTGTGTTGATCTACTTATTGTGACTATTAATCAGTGTTGCCATTTTAGCCGTTTTCCGGCTAGATTTAGCCGGTTGCGATAGCAAACAGCCGGAGAAATTTCGATTTAGCCGGCAGCCGATTTGTTAGCCGTTTTGCAGAAAAAAATTAGCCATTTTTAGCCGATTCTGCTATTTGCCTTGTTTTCTTAAATTTCAAATATGTATAT